TTAAAGGGGGAGATGGCTGCCACGAAGCCCTGGGGAGAGGAGACGGTGAGGCATAGGCCAAGGCTTCCGGCAGCACCCGCCCACCCCACCACCTGTGGGTACCTCCAGCCCCCGGTACACCACGCTGTTGGTGCTGGGCGGCACGCTGATGGGCTGCTCCCCCTCCAGCTCCAGGGCGAACTTTGCATTGAATCGGAAGAAGTCAATGAGCTCAGCCGCAGCATCGATCTCCGCCTGCATCACTGTCTTACCCTGCAAGGCAGGGGGCCGGGGGGCTCAGGCGGTAGACGCGCCTCCCACTAGCCCCCTTCCAGCACGGGACCCGCACCCATGGAGACATCACGTTGAGGGCGCTGGCAGCTCCACCCCCAGGGTGAGCACATGCCCTCACTAGGGGCAGCTGGGCCAAGAACCAGGCGGCCAGCAGCTCAGGATGTCCTTAGGCTGCCTCTTCCTCCTGGCGGTGAATGCCAGCCATGGGAAAGGCAGCTGGTGGGGCTCTTCCAGATCGGGGCGGCTCCTCCTTGGCACAAGGGTCCCTGGCTGCTCACCCTGCTTGGGACGTGGAGCCAGGGAAGCTGTGCTAAGGTGTCCTGCCTCCTGCCCTGCAAAGCGACTGTGCTTCTTACAAGCTCCTGAGTCCTTAGTCAAATAAAGAGACACCTTAATCTGGTTTTAGGGTGTATGTGTCTCTTCCTGCCATGTGGGGCTCACCCAGAACACCCTGGAGCCGGACACCCACCCCGGGGGCTGCATAGACAACCAGGAGACACTTGGTGGGGCGCAGCTGTCATCCCCACTCTGTGCAGCAGAGGGGGCTCCCACCGCAGCAGGAAGAGCGCTGGGCTGAGCCCCTAAGGCTCCTTTCTGGGAAGGTGAAGGGAACTCTTTTTTCCTCTGCTCGTTTCCCCACACTCTGAGCTGCTAGTACCCCTCTGGCTCAACATGCACTCACTCAAAGATGTCTATCAGGAGCCTCTATGACTCCAGAAAGACATGTATGAGGCCCAGAAAGACGAACAACATTAACATGTAATTATTATCCCCAAAAAGCTTGTAAAGGGGTGATGAACACATAGGATCTCGTTATACCCCAAGTGATCTGAGCTGTAACTGACAAATGAATAGCATGCTACAGGAGCACAGAGGCAGGACTGATCCTTTTGGATAGAGAAGGTTCTAGAAGCCTCACAGAGGTGNAGAAGGTTCTAGAAGCCTCACAGAGGTGGTGATATCTGGGCTGCACCTTGACAGCTAAGAGTCAAGGAGCAGAGGAGAGAGATTCCAGGAGGAGAACACAGGGGCAGAGGCAGGGAGACAGATGCCTGTGGTGTCAGGAGTCTTGCTAAGCCCATTCTGGCAACATCGTGGGTGGGATACCTGGCAGGAAGAGCCGGGCAGCTGGCAAGCTGGACAGAGGCCGGAAGCCAAGTGCCCTGGGTGTTGGGCTTGGAACTGTGGTGTGGCTCTCAGTGACAGAGAGATCTGGAGTGACCGCCTGGGGTGTCAAAAGACCTCTGCAGGCTGCAGAAGTCTGACTGAGCCCAGAGGACTGCTCAGGGCAACTGTCAGTCCAGGCAAAGGAAAGGCCTGGCCCAGGTGGGAACAGGGAAGAGGAGATGTTCCCGTGGCAGGACACGCAGGCTTGGCATTGTCTGATAATTTAGGTCCACCTGGCCCCTCTTGCAAACTGTCCCTTCTATGCCTCACCCCACAAGGACACCTCCCAGTCTCCGGCATGCGGAGCAGGCCTTGGCACCCGAACGCTGCTCAGCTGTTGTCTGACAAACTGAACAACTGCCTCCACCCGACCCCACCCATGCCCACAGGCACCTCACCTGCCCCACCATGGTCTTGGCCAGAACCTCTGCTCTGCGTGGCCCGCTCAGCAGATCTGCGGCCTTCAGGAAGATCTGGGCCCGGTCTGTGACAGGCTTCAGGTCCCACTCTTTTCTGGCAGCCAAGGCTGCCTCAATAGCTTTGCTGAGCAGGGCCTAATGAAGAGGAAAAGGTTGGGGGCCTCTTCCTGTAACAGGAAGGGTACCAGGGGAAAGAGCCATGGAAAAGAAATCTGGAGGCTCCTCTCCACCCAGAGAAGACTCCTGGCACCCTGAGGCCTCAGGCCCCCTCCTCCCCAAAGCTGGAGACACCGTGTGCCATCACCAGCTGGGCCACCCCAGGCTCGAGGCCTATCCTGCTGCCAGTCTGGAGATGTCTGAGGGACTTGACAGATAGGTCGGCATGCCAAGGACTCAGCACTGTTAAACCTGCTCCATTTTCTGTCATGGTCTCACCTGGGCCTCGCCTTATTCCTGGGCCACTTGAACCACCACCCAGAGCCTCCACCCTTCAAGGTCAGGGAGTCTGGCCTTGCCCTTGCTGGGCCAGAAGCAGACTGAGACATGCATCTGCTGCTGGCATCCCAGATGCCAACTGCCCTCACTGTCAGTGACACCAACGCCTAAACCCTCTACCATAGGTCACCCCATCCCCTCTCGCTGGCCCCCCATGCCAATTCCCTGTCTAGCATTCCAACCACAATGTCTCCAATTTGCCTGACTCAGCCTTCTAGAATCTACTCCCCATTCTCAAACCAGGGTCTGCCTCTCGGCAAGAGGCATGTCAAGGGATGTCCCAGCCTGGCCTACACAGCTCTCACTTGGCTCACGTTAACCCTTGCGTGCCTGGCCCTGCTGAAGACACTGCCCAGGGACTCCCCCAGTGCTGCTGTCCCAACTACACCCCACCCACCATGGCCAGACAGGGAAGCAGCGACTGACGTCTGCCTCCATGTCAGCTGCCAGTGGGGCAGAATGGGGCAGCACCTCAGGCCCATCACCATCAGGGACTCACCTGGTCTGCATAGCAGAACTTGGCCACTTTGTGTCCATGGTTGTAGGGCTGAAAGAGAGGAGTGAGGTCACTGCCCAAGAGAGAGGCGGGCAGGGCTCAGAGCTTGCTTCCAGGGCAGGGGTCCTCAGCACACCACCCTCTGCCCTTCAGTCCCCACGAAGCCCTCTGCAGTCACCCAGCCCCGGCCAATCTCTCCTGCCTGAGCATCAAGGCCCACCTGCTGCTGGATGAATACATTGTTCCCACTCCAGAATGTTCACAGTCCAGGGCAAGTGTGGACTTTGTGGTCACAGACACGGGTTAAAACTCCAGCTCTGCTGCCTACAAGCTGTAGGGCCTTACGTAAACTTACTTTCCTTCTCCGAGCCTCCAACCTGGGAACCGGGGGCTTCTCTGCCTCCTGGCATGGAGAGGCAGATCAAATGGGGTCACCAGAAAATTCTTCCAAACTGGGTCTGTCATGAGGCTGGGCTCAGAAATGGGTGCTGTCACCATGGAAGGCCCAGAACAGTAAGCTGGTGTTGTGAAATGCTCAGGATTTCTGCCCTGCCTCCAAGTCCCTAGAGAACCAGGTAATTGTTTCTTGAGACCCTTGCAGGGGACCCAGGCTCACTTGTCCTCAACAAACATTCACCAGGAGAATCTAGCAGAGCTGGGTACTAGCATGAGCACTAAAGTGGGGAGAATCCCCCTTCTTTCCCAACCCTGGGCTGGTGATATACTTTATACCATAATCATCAATACTTTTGCCAATCAGTCTGCAAATGGACCTTTGGGACTTTCCTCTAAGGTATCAGCCACTAGCCCCAGATGCCCGCTGACATTCAAGTTTGGTTTGTCAGCTGCACTGGCCACATCATGTGCTGATGACCATGTGCAGCTGGTGGCTGCCATCATGGGCATTGTGGATACAGAACGTTTCCATCATTGTCTTCACAGAAAGTGTTGGTGGAACACTTAGGCTGAAGTAGAACTTGGCCCTTCCCCTTCACTGTAACTTCTGGAGGTCACCTGTATCCTGTGCATACCTGGATGGCCTGTGACAACACTCAGGGGCCAAAAAGGCGGCTGGGACCCAGGCCCTTCAGTTCAGACGGTCCCAGGGGGACTAGTCACCCCAAATCAGCACTGCATCCCCACAATGTAGCTCCTGGGTTCCAATAAGGCCAGGTCAGTGAGGCAGGATGGGAAATGAACACCAGAGGTGCCCACCTGGGGGTTATCAAAATCCCAGTTGCCCGGAGAAACCCCAGATGCCATGGCGGCCTTGAGAGCTGCAGGCAGGGGCAGGTTCTCAGGAGCTATAGAGCCCAGACCCAGTGAGCAAGGTCGTGGGAGCTGCTCTC